CCGTAGTACGCACATTAGCTTACAAAAATATTCCGGTACCACAAGTATTTACAATGAAACTTCGTAACTGTAAATGCCATGGAGTAAAAATAGCTGTGAGATGCAGAAATGACTGCTGGCTCTGTTCCATTTCATAATTTCATTTTATGGCACAAATTGCAACGTGACTATTTCGAGGTAGTTAAGTGATTTTCTGGAAAGTTTTTTAAATTCCACATACATTTTAGTTAAAGTTATGGGAATTTATTGCATTTACATATGAAGGCATTTCTAGTCCAGAAGTGTAAGAAAGTTATGAGTTTGTGGAGTACTTAAATATTTCAGAATTTCTTAGGTGTGTCAAAATGAATTTCTTATGTGTAAAAATACTTCAGTGGTGAAAATTTTAATGCCATAAAAATCAAGAAAACCACTGATGGTATTAAATATCTAGGCATCACGGTGGACAAACGATTCACATGGTTTAAATATGTTCAACTGGATAGAATTAGCTGTGCCAAAGTTTTTCATCACCTTCAATCGCTACCTAAAATTAAAAATCTCAATGCTAAGAACCAGAAACTGTTATATAACCAAATAATTCGTCCGTCACTTCCATATGGATGTGTAGCGTTCAGCAAGACTTCAGACACTACTATTCGCTAGCTAAATATTACACAAAGCCAGACTATGAGAAGACTTTTCAACATTACTATTCGCTAGCTAGAAATTGCACAAAACAAGGCTCTGAGAAGACTTTTCAAGGTACCGTGGTACATTGGAACGACTCACATCCTGAGGATTCTAATGAGTGGACAGATCAAAAAATACTTCGGGGATAGAGCCCCGAAATTATTAACGGAAACTGACAGGCTTACCAACACCGCGTTATTGAACCTCAGAATGGTTTAGATCATTCAGATAGTGATAGGGACTATATCGTTGAAATAAAATGGAACTAAGCTCTATTAAATTGGCTATGTTCATAATTTATGATAACTTACATTGATGATGTTAGTTCAGTTAAAAAAGAGGCTGAAATAATTTTAAATTATTATGTCCTAATCACTGTAGCATCGAGGAACTATGTTACTCTTATGTGAGTACCGGAACAAATACCCTAGCATCGAGATACTATGTTACTCCCATGTGGGTACCACGACATGAAGGGCATGAGGGCAATGAAATAGCAGACTCTCTAGCAAAGAATGGTGCATGTACTCCTTCCATTGGTCCAGAGCCCTTCTGCGGAGTAACAAATAGCTTCACAAATAACTTATTATGTACTTATTATGTGAACGGGAGAAACAACATCTTCTTGAACACTGAAGAGCCCAAACAGGCATGCGACGTCAAGAACATTCATTGATCTGAACAGATCAAAGTTGTTGCTATTCTTGGCCTTAGCAGAAACGATATTAAAATCTACATTAAACTTTTAACAGAACACTCTAGACTTAATTACTACATCAAGATTATAGGTGCAGTAGAAAGTGACTCCTGTTGACTCTATCATGAGGAGAAGGAAACATCAGAGCATATTCTATGCAACTGCCCAGTGGCGTCAGGACGTAGACTCGACTACCTTGGAAGCGGGATCTTAGTTTCAAATCACATACGTAAAATCTAGCCCACAACAATTGCGAGATTTATAAATAGTCTAGAATTGTTTTAGTTGGACCTTTAGGCGCACAATAGATCTTTTAGGTCAGGGTGCATTCATAGCCTTTTATTTAATAATAATAATAGCGTGAAATACAATTTATATTTCATCCGTAAAGCCGTAACCAAGATAGTGTTCGTTAAAGTCTAGATTAAGACTTGTTGCATGTGATTTTCTAATACGTAGTGGGCTATAAGCAGTGATACCATGGTACTGAGTTAATATCGTTTTAGTTGAAACAGCTGGCTGATGTAAATTTTGTTCATTATGGATTATATGAGACGTGTGTTTGTACAAGACGATCAATCCACTCCAGCACTTATGGAAATATAGATTTAATTTTAATTTTTCAAAATTAAAATAGCATAATGATGAGAATTGGTTTAAAATGCAACAAACAATTATATTTAATTTTAATTTATTGAATTTTTTTGACTAAATCCATTACTATCATTACATTAGTATTTTTTTAATGAAATATTTGGGTATTTGCTATTTGTTGTTGGTTTTTTAGTTAGGCGGTAGATCAAACTTCTACTCGATTAGTACTATTTTTCGGAACAGAAATTTAAAGTTCATTAACAAATGTGAAAATGATTTTTTAATAGCTTACGTTACAAAAATCAATTTTTCTTGTTATTAAAATATATTTATATTTATAAATAAATTACGCGATATTATCGGAAAACTCTCTCTCCACAATCAGACTTAAGCTTTTTTAAAAAGGCAATTTACTTCAAAAGTGAAAATCATTCAGAAATGGGGCAGTATTTGACGATTTTGGTGCTGTTGGCTGTGAATATTGTTGAATCTGTATGTAAAAAAACTTATTTATTATTAAAACTATTTGTAATATTTAAATAACCATTTAACTGTTTAAAGAGAAAGTTATTTACTGTCACCCAACTGACATGCAATAGTTTGGACTCAAGTTTTGGTACATTTCTGAGATGTCAGTATTCCAATATCGACCTAAAACCGGAGGTCAACGTTTACCTGAAACTACTTCAACTGCCAGTGGATAATTGCAAGGTTTAGAGCAATTTAAAAATTTTTCTATTCATAGTTTATATAGATTTTTTGTGTATAGATAAGAACTAAATTGAAAAAGCATAATGGTGAGAAGACCAATATAATTTATAAACTAAATATTGATGCTTGTGAATTTATGAAGAGCAGAGAAACGAATCGTGTCATGAATACAGTTTACTCAATGTTGGGATTCCCCGATTATAGCAATATCAATCATTCGTGTCCTTATAATGTATGTATGAATTTAAAATAAATAAAATATAACATATATTTATATTGTATATATAATGAACTTCTTTCCAGCATGACATCATTTTAAACAAATCGCAGTTTGATGAAAAGTATATTAACCTAATACCAGTGCCTTTGGGTCAATATTCTGTTGAAAGCGTATGGATTGTCAATGAAGTACCCAGAGTTGTGACGACACTCGGTTTCAAATATTATGAAAAATAAAAAAGAACTAAAAAACATATTCGAAGTAAATTGAAAAAATTGGTAAATTATTTACTGATTATGATAACATCAAACACGAATATGTTTTATTTTTTTTTTTTTGAAAATATGACTCATATTTAGATTATTAGATCACACTTTTTACTTTATTCCAGCATTAAATGGTTCACGCCAACACTCTCGTTTTTGATTCGAACGGTCTTTGAGCAGCTCATAGACCCTCTATGAGTCTAAAAACTCTTTATGAGAATTAATGAACACTTATGAGGTACTCTTCAGATTACTTGCATGTTCAGCAAACAATTAAAAGGAATATTCATGTATTCTACTTCTACTTTTCTTTAATATATAATGTATATGAAAATGGATTCAGCGATCATTATCTTTGATATAAAAACCGGTTGCCTTATTACGACTCTTTCTAAGGCTTTCGTTGATTGATGTGATGATTAAAGATTGACACCAAGTTTTTTAATCCACGGTTGATAGCAAATTTGCCTCCAAAGTCATTCTAAGTTGCATAATAATAATATAAGTTTTCATAAAATGCTCTTTCAGAGCATCCTTGTCTCATCCGTCGCATTTTCTGGAAAAGTTGGACTCGTGTGTTTTAAGAACAATAACCAGCTGTATAGATGCACCTTTTCTATGAAGTGTTGGGATATTCCAAATGCATATTCTTAAAACATGTTTTTTAAAACGTTCGCGAGTGTTGTCATCAGTGTCATTACCTGAGGCTTACTCTTTATTGCCATTGGAATACTATTTTATATGATGGGTTCCCAGTCCGACCTATGAGCATATGAAGAAAATTTCGCTACACACATCATTTTACTACGGATGATTGTAAATATTCTGAGAGTGTCACGTGGAAGTTGTGTCAACTTGAAAAGAACATTAACAAGGATCGTGCTGACATTTAACAGGTCAAATGCGTTCAGTAAGTGTACCTTGTATGCTTACTTTCTCCCATCTCTCTCTCCATACGCCTGACTAGATTGAGATATTTTGATATAGTAGTTTACGAACTATTCTGACTGCCGGACAACCCTCATAAAAATTTCCAAAAATAGTTTGATGTCCTTTTGGAAAAGGGACAAGACATCCTTTTATATAAAGTAGTGACTGCTACGTAAACACGTATCGAATTATATAGAATGATGAGCTGTATGAGCGACATTGTTATAGTAAAGTCCATAAAAACTCAGAGAGTTCGTTGGATCGGTCATGCCATCAAATTGAAAAAAGAATTCCGACTACAATACTCTCCAGTATCTGATTATGTGGTGAAAAGGCGGTAGAGGACGCTGACATATTTGATGAAATGACCAGGTGACCAATGATATGTAAGCACTCGGTAATACTAAAAGGTGGCAGCAAGCAACTGATCGAGCTGGCTGGTGGAGGGTGTTGAATGCGGCCAAAGGCGATTCGCGTCTGTCATGGCTAAGTCAGTAAGTAAGCAAGTGAGAGAGAGAGAGAAACATTATGTCTTCTGTGGCAGATTGGGATGCAATTATCACATATGGTTTATGTACTCGTATATATTTCTATAAATTTTTCAATTCAGACTTTTAATTTACGAGTATATTAAATTGACTTTTACGTCCCTTTTTAACGAAAGAAACTAAATTCTTATTATAAACAATTGTTTTCAATTGAGAGGTATTTTGGTATTTTTCATTTAGAAATTCCAGTACTATCCAGTATTATAAAATTGTATTTGGAATTATATTTGACAGTTCACGCTATATAGATTTTTAATTCAGCTTTTTAATTTATAATTTCATTTATTTTATATTCAAAGTATGTCAAGATATAGTAAAAATTTTTTAATTTTTGAATATTAAAATATTAATCCAATTTAGTAATAACAATCGAGACTAAATTATGAAATTAATATTTTCGTAAAATAAATTTTTGTGTTCTTTAGCACTCCTCTATTTTGCATTCATCAAATTATTTCCAAAAATTTTATTCCAAAAATTTTTGTTCCAAAATGTATACGGAAGTATGGCGTAAGCCCATACAAAAGCGAAAATTTGTGAGTTAAAAGAATTTATAAACTTAAGTATAATCCAAATTTGAAAAGTATTTCAGTGGAAGACTTTACCACTAACAACCAAAATAAGATACTATTGTGTGCCACTCTTAAAGTATCTTCTAGGACCACTACTCATAATAATAGGAATTTTGGTTATCACATTATGTTTGCTTATAACTTATTTTATCTATCGGGCCTTTCTCAACGGGTAAGTATATCTCATTGTCGTTAAGGCTTGACTAATGTATTCTTTCAACTACAGCACAAAGAACTTAGCGTCTATGATCTCTGATTTAATCTCTGATGGCAATTGGGGATTTTTAAAAAATTGGGCTGAAAAAATTAAAACCAATATTAATTTTGAATATTTGAATGGAAAATATGAAGCTCTTGTATCCATAGTAATTGATCATGTTTTACAAATATATGGAAGCCTGAATGAAGCCATGCAGATGTTCTTTGTTGATATTGGCGGAGCTTAGAAGTTTCTAAAAACTCGCATTGACAACTCTGTCAACTTTATCAAATAATTCGACATTGTAGTGCTGAGCTTATAATAAATGAATGCAAAAAAGAAATGTTCTAAATATAATTCACTTTCGTCATTTCAATGCAAACATCCTTTTTCTGGCATAATTTGCATAATTTGATGCCAACGCACACAACGCACACAACGCAAAACAGGCAACAGAAGTACGAACTAGCCATTTCGAAACTCCTTATTGGCATCACATTGCACACACACACACCAATTCAAATATTCACACAAACAACAACAAAAAAATTAAGAAATACTAACACAAACACAAATGAACAATACTTCAGTGTTTCACTGACATTTGTTAGTAAAAAAATACAAGCAAAGAGCAAAAAGGCAAAAATAAAAAATAAAAAAAAATGATGCAAACAAACAAAAAAACAAACAGCAGCAAAGAAAAAGTAAGAAGAAGCAATTTTCATCCTTCATGATTATGTTAATGCTGCTAGTCTGTCGGCTGTGCTATCTTCAGTGCGTTTACATCGTCAGCACAGCACATTGAAGTAAAGCATAACTAGAATTTTTATTACTTTTGCAGTTTCTTATTGTTTTTGTTTTTGTCTTTTTTTCTATTTCATTTTTTTCTTTTCTAATACTGCTTTAAGGATTTGAAGCTTTTGTAGCTGTTGTCATTGCTGCTCTTGACCAAGTCAAAGCTGTTGCTTCTTTTCTTATAATGCTGCTGCTGCTGCTGCCGTCGCTGCCGCTGTTGCTGCTGCTTCGACTTTATTACTTGCCCACTGTTATGTGCTGTTACGTGTTGGTCGTGCGGTGCACAATTTTGTGTTTTCGTCTTTCTTTGCTCTTCCTTTAAGTTATTAAACATGACCGAAAGGTTTCTTGTGCTTATTTTCAATTTTGTTTTTCGTTTTTATTATTAATTTCGTATTTTTATTGCTTTGAACTGTTGTGCCCTTTTCTTGTTATTGCCGCTATGTGACTGTGGGTTCTTTGTTGTTGTTGCTGCTGCTGCTGTTGTTGTTTTTGTTGTTGTCGTTGTAATCGTATAACAATTTTTAACATAACTAAAGCAACAATTTGCTGTTTAACGTTTCTTTTTCTTTTGATTTTTTGGTAAAATGTTGAATGTCAGAAGCTTCAGTGCCCATATGAATAAGCTTTTTAGCATTTCAGTGGTGGTGTGGTGAAAAGCTTTAAAAAACTCTTTAGTAAGAATAACAGGAAGCATATTAAGTGAATTGTGGTAATAAAATATATTATTATTAATTAAAATAATATTATTGTGTTATATATAAAACTCTATACAATTTAAATTTTTAAATTATTTTAATTTAATTATTTTAAATAAAATAATTTTAATTTCATTTATTTAAATTAATCAATTAATTACTTTAATTAAGATAATTTTAATTTAATTTATTTTATATCAATTAATTAGTTAACTATTTTATTAAAAACCATTTTAATTTAATTTATTTTAAGTAATGTAATTTTAATTAATTTTATTTTCATTAATTAATTAATTGCTTTAATTTAAATCATTTTAATTAAATTAATTTGAAGTAATATAGCATTTAGCAAGCTATATTTATGAAAGTCATTAAAGCGTGGTGGAAATGATTTTGTGAGTAATGTTAAAAGATGAAAAAAGTGGGATTGGCGCAAATTTTAAAGAAGATTAAAAAGTAAATTCTACGTTCAGGGTCATATCGAACCCGATTGTAGAGTGGCATGCGTGACGGATGGACAAAATCCACCTCAAGATATTTAATAAATAATAATTTTTAAGTAATAATCTACACAGCAAAAGTCTGGCTGGATCGCTAAGAAAAGCAAATAAATCTCAAGGAATATGGACTCACTTATACTTGAGAAGTAATAAGTGGAACTAGTATGTATAACATTAAAATGACCCCATTCTCAATTCCGAAATGACAGTATTATTTAAATAAAGAGTGTAATAAACATATAGCGGATGTCGGATAATATAGTTTAAAGATGTGAGAATTCCTATTTGGAATTTTAGCGACTACTGGGTTGTGACAGAACTGTTGAGGAATATTTTGTTTTATACTTCCCATCAACAACTTCGAAAGTTGTTGCAAAATAGACAATTGAAATCGGAATAATAATTATTTTATTAGGTGTCTAAAACTTAGAGATTGATGAAAATTCATTTTTAAAGAGTGGAGCATAAAAATTCCCTTGATTTGTATAAATGGTTTACTGTAGTAAGTATAATATTATTTAATATCAGTACCTGTAGTGGCACCCAGCCGTCAGTTCGACTTTTTCTAACATAGAAAAACAAGCAAAGAAAATAGATCTTGTGGCAAATGACACAATAATAAAGTACTTTCAGTTAACAAACAAATTTTCAGAACGACTTGGGACCTGCGTAACTGTTGACAACTATAAGTTTGAAATGGTGAAAAACTTTGTTTGGTAGCCAGCCTAAGTGATGTCAGCCTACGAAGAATCAATCTTACCGAAAGATGAACGGGCTAAGAAGAGAATTAAAATAGATTTCTCGACAAATAAAAAACTGCGGTCACCAAGGTTCTTAACATATCAAGCCTGTCCTGCTGTACATCAATTTATATTAATTTTTAACTGTTCATATCTCAGTCTTTGTAAATGATATAGACTTAACGTGTTTTGCATTATAAAAATAATTAATCAATTTTAAAAATTAAAATTGTTTATATATGAGTACTAATATTAACCGTTAAAAAGAAATATTGAAAATATATATTGAAAATATTTTTTTTTTATTTTTGGTTAAGATTAAGTGATAGAAATTTTTTGGTAGCATTTTTAGAAGTATTTATAATAATTTATTGTTTTAATGATAAAAGTTTTTAAATAATAATTTTGTAATCAAATTTGATGACCAATAAGCCTTTCTTAAATATAAAATTATTATTTAACAGCATTTTTTAAATTTTAATTTAAACTATATCTCACGTGTTAAAACTTTTAATTTTTAGAATAATATTAATTTTTAAAAAACTATTTAATATGCATTTCCCGCATCACTTATAACTTAAGTTATAATTTTAAATAACTTAATTTTTAAAAAAATATACCATTAAAATTTAATATGCACTTCACGCATAACACTAAATTTTAATTAACTTAAGTTTAAAAAAATATGCCACTAAAAAAATTTTTTTTCATATTTTTATGTTTAATACTTATTGTTTTTTATTAAGTTAGCATTAATTTTTACATACAAATTTTTTTTTACTGAATAAAATTATAAGTTACCTATTTAAAATTATTTATAATTGTATAATTTTTTAATTTATTAGTTATTAGTTTAGTTAGTTATCATTAAGTTCTACTTACAATTTCCATTTCTAAAAATTTCAAATATATATATAATTTTTTTATTTATTTCTATCTATATTTTATTATTTATTAATTATTTCATTTATTTATTATTCTTTATTATTTATTTAATGGTTTTTTATTACTGATTTCATGTGATCTGTATTTGATTTGATGTATTTGATTTTAGGATGTAATGACATCTCAAACTAATATTTTATAAAGCGTCATAAAGTTTTCACGATAATTTATTTTATTTTATTAAATTATTTTTTAGTAAAATTTTTTTATTTCGTCTAATAATTGTATCAAACATTAATTTCAAACAAATTATAAAAATGTCACTCATACGCCATGTATTAAAAATGCTCAACAAATTTGAAATTACTTATTTCATTTATTTATTATTCTTTATTATTTATTTAATGGTTTTTTATTACTGATTTCATGTGATCTCGTAGGTATGTATTTGATTTTGGGATGTAATGACATCTCAAACTAATATTTTATAAAGCGTTATAAAGTTTTCACGATAATTTATTTTATTTTATTAAATTATTTTTTAGTAAATTTATTTTATTTCGTTTAATAATTATATCAAACATAAATTTCAAACAAATTATAAAAATGTCACTCATACGCCATGTATTAAAAAAGGCTCAACAAATTTCTGCTGATAAAATCTCTGAAAACATTTAACGCACATTTTTTATCTAAAGCAAATAAATTCACCACAGTTCAAATTGTTTCACCACATCATTTCTCCTCACAAATCGTAAATTGCGTATAACAGTTAAAACACGAATTGCTGAAACTGGCAAAGCACACAATAAATTTATTGTGCACGCACAGTTCGTTGCAAGCCTTTGTGTAGTGTAGTTCGGCAAAAGTGCGCAGTGCAAAAAAAAATCACTAAGAAAATTGTGTAATTCATAGAAGCTGTGCAGCTGTTGAACAGTAGTCACCTTTTTCGTTATACCATTACCAAGATTAAATATTACCGCAAACAGCCTCAGTACACACACATACACACTCACTTAAACACTTGCAAATACTAGAGTACTCGAGTGTTGCATGCGATTCTTACTGAGTGCTGCACAGAGCGAACACTAAACTTCAGGATAATTAAGTGCAAGACAAATGAATTAGCAGCACAGCAATTTCTCTGTTAATTATAACAGAAAAGTTTTTGAATTTTTATTAAAACAACCAAAAAGTGCAAGATAATTTATTTTAAAATTAAATTGCATTTTAAATGTTTTAAAATAAATTAAAATTAAAACAATTTTTGCAAAATTTGTGAAGTGTGTGCGATATTCAAGCAATTAGAAATCCTTTAAAAGTCTTGAAAAGGATTTTCGCCGGGCAACGCCACGTAAAATGATAAGTAAGTTTTAGTGTTAAGCTTAAATAATAATAATAATAATAATAATAAAAATAATAATAATAATAATAATAAAACTAATAAGAGGGAAAACTATAATACTTTTAAGGATCTATGGAGATTATATTATAATAGAATGATATATAATAGTGCTATATATATATGTGCAAGAGTATGTAGTAGGAAACTTTAGAATTTATTAGGGTTAAGTGAAAAATGAAAGGAAAACTGTAGGAGCACAAAAGTTTGTTTGTTGCTATTATTATTGCGCTAAACTTTTTATTATAGCAATAATTTAAGCAAGATTTCTTTTGAACCATGCGGTTTATGCTGCTTTGAAGTAGCAGTTTTTTATTGCTTGCACAAACACATGCAC